CCCCCCCCTTTCTTACCCTGATCCTTGTCTTTGTCATTCTGCAATCCTTTTCCCGCGAGGTCGTCGACCTCGATGTTGGGCCTATTTTTCTCGGATCCTTTGTCTTCTCCTGTGGAACTGACAACCGCGGCAAAGGACTTCTTACCCCGGGCAGGGCAAGACTCGTTACCTTCCGAGTGGAAGTGTCGCCTGCAGCTAGGGCACCATGGAGTTTCTGCGGTGATCACTTCGAGTTTAACAAATCCATCTCTACCCAGATCTATAACCAAGTACTTTTTGTACCTGAGCCTCGCTGCGGATTCCAGGTCAAAACGTACGTTTAGCAGATCAGGGCATAACTTATCCTTAAATATAGAATATTCCTTTAATATTTCGCTGCCGTAGACGTCGCGCACCACTCCCGAAAGCAGTGGCAAGACCCCAATCGGGACTTGTTGAACTCGAATCCAAAAGAAACGAAACTTGAAGACTTCTCTCCATTCCCAAAGCGCATGTTCTGTCATCCAGGGTCTGAACTGGACCTTGTGGTGAATGTTGGCAAGGTTAATCTCCGTTTGACCGCATCGCAACATCCATTCCGCCACTGCTTTCGACGGGGCAACGTATGTGATAAGGTTTCTACCTTCGTTCTGGAACAGGCCCCGCTTTACGGGGGTGGTCGGGTGCTGAGCGGCCGCCGAGCCGTTCTCGTACACCCTCACAAAACGTTTTTTAACGTCCAGGGGGGTGGCTGTGGAGTCATCTCCAAAGATGATGGTGACGGCGTGTTCACTGAGCCAGTCCGCCTGAATTTTGTAAAGGTCCTGGTTCACAATAACTTTATGGACCTCTCCCTCCTCCACTATAGACGGGGCGAGACGTTGCGGTAATATACCATCTAAATAACATTTCGCGATAATATCCCGGATTCGTTCAACTTCGTCCGGGGTAATGGAGGAGGACGGTTTTTCGGCCGCCATCTCGTAAGCAAAAGAGAGCAGCTACCGATCACAAATCGTATCTAAATTGAGTACTTAATCCAAAGCATACATAAATAGGGGCAAGTACTTAACGACAATCCTTTCCTCTTCCAAGAGGTCGTGGGGCGGGGGCTGAAAATTATACCTGCATTTGACACGCTTCCCTTTGCTTGATATTAACCTGTGCCTTGAGGACTACCGCTGCAGAAGATCATCTCCTTTTCGCATGGGCGCACAATACAAACAATCCAGGATTGCCAGCTAATCGTGGCGAGCAGAACCCAGACTCGCCTCGAAGGGGACTCGTCCGACCCTGGTATCTCACCAGGATCCCTCGCCGTAAGACGTTACGGTGTAGACAAGGTCAGCTCATGGCTCCTCTCGGTAAGACCGAGGGACCCTAGCCAACAACGGTGATGGCTAAGACCCCGCTGCCCAGCTCAGCGTTCCCCCTTTCGTCTCAAAAAAGAGCACATGCCGAAAATAGCACACGAGTAGCGCTAAACGCCGCTCTTGCCCCGATCAGCCCGACCTTCAGCCAGTTTAGCTTACCGACCGGTTGGGTACATTTCTCAACTTACGTGCCTTTCGTGGGTTTTTTTTTTTAGACATCATTACACCCTGAAACGAGGAACTCTGACAGCTGTGTTTGGTTCTCTCGCATCAAACTCTCTTCCTTCTTTGGGCAATGAACGCATCTGGCCATCCATGTTGTCCCTGTCCATTTTACGAATGGTGACCTCCTATCGCCTCACCACGGGAAGTATCTTTTTTCCACGGAGACATTCACTCCGACTGTGCCAGACGTGTTTCATTTCTCCGAGTTACTTAATAAAAAATAAGGAGAAAAGTTGTTTCTAGCATTTTTTTTCAGTTTTTTAATTTCTTGTTTCGAATTTATTAATGTCAACATGGTGTCACACGTTGCGTTTTCTAAACTTAAATTTGAGCGATAGGACTTCACCCGGACCATGTCCCATATGCACCGTTTAGTGGACCTAGTTCAACAGTGCGACGGCTGAAACAGTTTTTTTTTATTCATTTAAAATTCAAAAATGCATTAAAAAATCCGCGAAAGATGCAATTCATTCATTTTGTTTTTGTTTCACAATTGGAGTGGCATACGTGACGTCCACTACCGATAATGAAAACTTGTTGCCATCCGACACGCCCGGTCCGCCTTCACAGCTAAAACTGTGAAATCCGACTCTCCGATCCTGCGAATGGACACGGATGCATCTGGCCACGTTTTGAGAAGGATAGACCTGTGCTTTTTCTCACTTGGACAATGGTGTGCAGAGGCCCTGCATCGTCGAAACGTATGCGAACGGGCCCTTACTTACCTTTTTTTTCCGTGGGGTCGGCCCTTACTTACAATTTTCCGCACCTGTCCACATACACGTTCACATTCACGCACTTTCTGCAATTCTCTTTGCCAGTAGGATCTTGTCCGTAGTCTTCTTCTCCCTTCGACCCACCCTGCACTCCCACAACAGTGTGTGTGTGTGCGTGTGTGTGTGTATGTGTGTGTGTGTGTGTATGTGTCTGTGCGCACGTATGTGTGTGTGTGTGTGTGTGCCTGTCTGTGTGCACGCATGTGTGTGTGTGTGTGTGTGTGTATGTGTGTGTGTGTGTGTGTGTGTGTGTGTGTGTGTGTGTGTCTTCGTCAACAAACCGTGTGCTCAATAACGTGGGCACGCCCCTACATGAATGTGCTCAATAACGTGGGCAGATACAGGAGCCCATGACGACAATGAATTTGAGCGGCCCCCGTCCTTCAAAGAGTCGCTCCGATCCTGTGAAGAGTTGCCCTATTCCCATAGCCGACGCGTATGCGGTCCTTCAAAGGTCGCACCGAAAATAGCAAACTACACACGACTTCACAAATTTCTCAAAACGTAATAAAATAACACCCCCCCCCCAAAAAAAAACTAAAGAAAGGACTCAAAGGGTCGTTGAACTAGCTGTCTCGAAAAAAGGAGACAGCTAGTTCAACGGAAAGTGGCGAGGGTAGGGGTAGTAGTATTCGAGAGAAAGGATTTATTTCTGTTGTAAGAAAAAACGAAGATAGTCTTTATTGCCCTTTTTATTAAAAACGGACCGTTAGATGAATTGGACGACGTGCATCTCCCTCGTCGCATACAATCACACAGGGTCGAAAACCCCACGTTGACCTAGCTCAACGGAGTTACTGGGACAAGGTCCCTGGAACCTTGTCCCATGGGGCGTGAAAACCAAGGGTACCAACAGTCATGTAAAACCTAATGAACATACTTGCATTCGAGAAAACGTCATTTTTTTATGTATTTTGTCGGAAGAAAAAAAACGATAAAATGTATTCACAATTAAAAAAAAAGCGGACCAGAGGATGATCGCGAGGGCGTGCATCTCCTTCGTCGCCTACAGTCACACATCGTCGAAAACCCAACGTTGACCTAGCTCAACGGAGCTAGTGGGACAAGGTCACTAGCTCCGTTGAGCTAGGTCAACGTTGGGTTTTCGACGATGTGTGACTGTAGGCGACGAAGGAGATGCACGCCCTCGCGATCATCCACCGGTCCGCTTTTTTTCTAATTGTGAATACATTTTATTGTTTTTTTTCTTCCGACAAAATACATAAAAAAATGACGTTTTCTCGAATGCAAGTTTGTTCATTAGGTTTCACATGACTGTTGGTACCCTTGGTTTTCACGTCTGCGACGGTTCGACATCATGCACAGGCCTTGTCCAAATAAAAGGAATAAATGTCGTACCGTAGATGCTACTGGATTGTATAAGAGAGTCTTGGAGTTGGGGCCCGCAGGCCCACACACCGTGGGAAGATCAAGGGCGGGTGGGACTGCTTCGCCAAAATTGGCGAAGGAGAAATGACTCTCCCCAGACCGGATGATGAGATGACATGTGTGCCTGCAAATTCGCGTATGCTCTGAGCACTGTTGGAGGTCGTACGACGGAAGGAAGATCGCGGGAACTCCAGCAGGTTCAGCAACCTGCCTCCACTGCTGCACTGCCGGTGATTTATACCGTCGCTGGTAGTGGGAGTAGTGTCGTGCGAACTGGAGGCATCCAAATGCACCCCGGTGAGTATCGAGGCCTGTCGCCCCAAAGTGATGTGTCCCCAGGGTCCAATTGCTGCATCCGACCTTCGCGTCTGACCCTCCTAAACCTTGGTCCTTGCTCCTGCCCAGATGCCCCTTGACTTTCAGCGTCTCAATTCTTGTGTGGGTCCTTACTTGGTCTTTGCTCCTGACCAGATGGTCCCTTGACCCAACTGTTAGAACCAGACTCCGCTGATTGCATGCCGTAGATATCCAAGATCCAGGGCTACGAAGAAACCGTGCGACTGAAGTTTGTTGGTGCGTGCTGATGCTGACAGGGAGTTGAAAAGGCAACTGTGAGTAGTTGCAGGACAATTGTTGCACAGGTCTTGTCCAAATAAAAGGAATAAATGTCATACCGTAGATGCTGCTGGATTGTATAGGAGAGTCCTAGAGTTGGGGGCCGCAGGCCCGCACACCTCCTGGTCACCCCATCTCCCCCATCGTCCCGCTAGTGACCGTGTCGTCTTGCAGGGAATGGTGGAACGAGCGCATGAGCGATGGAAGTTGACGGTAGAAGAGGAGCACACCTGAGAACGAAGGAGATTACGAGAGCGGCTTAGAGTGGTGCAGTAATGTTATTGATGAGTTTGGTTGTGGTCGGCGATGGCGAAACGAAATGCGGAAGTTGTTGTTGGGGTTGAATGAGTGGTTGGAGAGGAATAAGGTTGGACGGGATTGCATGAGATGCATTGATTTGGATATATTATCATTCATAAGTAGTCAGTGGTTAATTGAGGTTGAAGGTCGCTGTCGGACAGCTGATTGCGAGGGGACACCTTTTGTGTCGTCGTCGACTGTTGATGCTGTGATAAATTGCCTGAGCAATAGCTTTCGATTATTAGGAAGGGAAAACGATGATCCTTGCCAGAGTGGACGGGTGAAATCCTTTCGGAAAGCTTATCGAGAGTACGCATTGTAGAAGGGGGTAATTGAGGAGTCGGCATATCCATTAAAATGAGAGAAATTGAGGATTGTTATAAATTATATTAGAAGCAAGATTGTAGTAATGAAAGGGGTAATGGAAGTTGAAGCTTACATAGATGCCGCAATATTCTTATACTTATGGGAGAGTTGGCAGCGATGTGGTGAGGGATTGCGCTTGCAGTATGCAGAGATTGATATCGGAGATAGGACGGGAAACCGATCGGCAAGGTGGGCGATTCCTGATCAGATTGAAGGAGCCTACGGAGGGGGAAGAGACGTTTCTGGGGATCTTAAGCGAATTGGTGGTTGCGTACGGCCGAATAGTGCAGGATATCCGGGTTGGTTATCTGTTTCGGGGTCGACGTGGGAATGGGCCGCTAGGAGGGAGTCGTTTCAATAAAAGGATTGAGAAATGGTTTGGGGAGGCGGGTGTGTATGAAGGGGAGACGGGTCACAACTTTCGGATAGGTGGGGTGCAAGCTGATATCGAGGAGGGATGGAGCTTGGGAGAGATGATGCGACAGGGGACATGGAAAAGTGTTGGGACCTTCATGCGGTATGGGTATGGGATGAAACGAGGTTGGAAAAGAAAAGGCGATAATTAGGTTTTAACTAGGAACACTTTGAGGCCAAACATGGCTGGGTTGGAACAGGATGGATGCACTTTGGGGCTAGGTATGCATGAGAAAGGAGATGCGGGTATTTTGAAAGACCAGAGTATATTTAATTGCATGAGTCGCAGGAACCAAGTTGGTTTGGCGGAGTCGGGAGTTATGAGGAGGTAAAATGCGGGGAAGAGTAACATGCGAGAGATGATGGTATTTAAAAGGGAGGTGGGAGGGAAGATCCATTTGTAGGGTTCCTTGGGTAAAGTGCTCCAATCCAGGGAGAGGGCTTCAACGTTGAAAGCAAGATTAGACCAAGTCTTGGATTTAAATAGGGGGCAGACATGGTGGTAGTCGGAAGTGAAGAGGTCGATGGTCGGGACATCTAATTCTTTGAAAATGGTTTTAAGAATGTGCGAGGAGATGCCCCAATCTGAGTTGTCTTCTGTTTTGGAAACGAGGTCGGTGTGTTGGTTAAGATGGTGTGGGATCCATATGGGGTTGAAAAGGGTATCACAAGAAATAAGGATTGATGCTATGCCTCGGAGCCAAGGATTGCATAGGGGATCAGAGGAGCGCATGTTGATAAGTAGAAAAGAGGCAGCCTGGCTGTCCCGGTGGAGTCTAACTGATGTAGATAGTAGGAGATTCTTGTGGTTCTTAAAAAGAAAGATGAAGGTTCGGAGAATCGCAAATAATTTGTGGTGAGTGGAGGAGGATTCTAGCAAAGAGGGTGGAAGACATTCATTAAAGATAATTTCATTATCAGGAGTTTTGACGACTGCTGCGATTTGAGAGGATGATGCATCTGTTGCAATAAGAAGGGTATTTTTTCTGATTGTCCAAAGGTGTCCAGGTAAAGAAGGCAGGTGTTGGAGCCACCAAGTTAATTCAAGTAGAGATCATTAGAGGCAGAGATGATGGAGTCCCAGTTGCCTGGCGAGATAGAGTCATAGATTGAGGATAGGTAGAGGGGAGCGGGAAGGAAGGTTTTTGGGAGCGATGCCAAATTTCCTGCGAGCCTTGCTAAGGACCTACTAGATATAGGGGAAGAGGAAACCTCGTTAATGAGGTTGATGATTTTCTGAGCCTTGCCATCAGGAACCCTTATTCTCTTGTTGTGGGAATCCAAGATGAAGCCTAAGAATTTAATGGACAGAGAGGGTAAAAAAGAGGATTTGTTGATACTTAGAAAGAATCCTAGGTTGTGCAAAAGAGCAACATAGTTGAAGGTTTGCCAGATGAGGGAAGGTACGAAGGGATTGGCCAATGCTGAATCGTCTATGTAAGAGGAACTGAGCACATTACGCGTTCTAAGTTCCGTCATAATTTCTTGCATAACTGTAGTGAAAATCCAGCAGGCGGATGAGACACCAAAACAGAGGGTATTGAAGTGATAGTTAATTCCTGGCCAATTAAATGCGAAAAGAGGCGATGGTCAGGGTGGATGGGGATGTGATAGTAACCGTTTTTTATGTCGAAACAAGTGAGAAAATCCTGCGCAGGTGAACCAGAGAGGGGGGGGAGTAGATCATCGAAAGTTTCATAGTGAAAATATGGAAAAGAGAAAAAAAGGTTGACAAATCTGACATCAAGGATGAATCTTGTTTTTGAGGAACTTTCAATGGCAAACACAGAGTTGGTAACGATTGGGGAGGGGGAATGTTCTATGACCTTGCAATGCAGTAGGTGCGATACGGAAGAAGAGATGAAATCGTGGTGGTGAGGAAGGAGATGGTGGTTTGGAATGATTGTTTGAGGAGTTAATTGCATCTTAAGTGCTTGCTTAAATTGAGAGGCAGAGTAAACATTCTTGAGCATATGACGTACTTCCATTTTCTTTGATGATGGGATATGCGCAGTCCCTACGAAATTAAGTCTTACACCGTACTTGATCCATTGCAAGACTGGGTGGGAGAAACGTCTAGAGGAGGAGGAAAGTAAAAGACTTCGATTGGAGAAAGATGAGGAGGTGGATGATGCGAAGAAGTGATGTGGTGGTCTAATCCAATATGATGGTTCCTGGAGTGCAAAAACGGCTTTCCGTAGGTCTGTGATTGATGGAGGTTTGAAGAGATTGAGGAGGATCTGAGGTACTTGAGGAATGTCAAAGGCGGGGTAGTCATTATGAAGTTGCGTTGAAGTCGTCTCTTCGATCAGATTCAGTTTTTGAGCTTTCGACGTCGAATTTCTTTGCTGCTCTGTTGTAGTTGTAACCTTTGTAGTCTTCATCGTGATGCTTGCGAGAGGTGGAGCGCTTTTCCGCCGTCTTGGATTGAGCGCCCTTCTTCTGGTAGGTCGATTTGCCTTCGGAATCTCCTCGATTGGCCCTGCAAGGTCGAATGAGATAAGTGAGAATGCCCTTGACGCAAATGGCGTGGATTTTTTTAGGTAGTCCTGGGCGAGTAAAGAAGTCGTCGGGCGCTGCCCTTGCTTACCTAGCTTCCAGTTGCCAAGCTTGATTGAGACAGTAGTTGAATTTGGCTTCGATTAGTGGCAGTGCTTCTTCCATTCCTTCTCTAGCAGCCTTGCTTAACAATGCCTTGGTCGCCTTTGGAATGCGTTTTTCCATGGCGTCCTTGGCAACAGAGGCGACACGGGACACGAAATCGAGCGCAAAGGTCTTTCCATATAGATAGCAGGAATAGTTGAGGTCTACGGCTTTGAATCTGATGAGGGATAAGATTTGCCAAAGATAGCAGGGGCTGAAGAAGAGCTTCTTCCAGACTTTTAACTCATGATAGGAAGAGGGGGATTTTGGGAGCAAGTTCTGAGAGATTTCATGCATGTCTAAGGTTATGTTGGAGTAGAGTTCGTTCAAGGCTTGATTCTCCTCCTCCCTACGGAGAATCTCATTGTGACCAGATTCGGATTTCTGGATGAGTTGGGTTTTGAGTTGGTCGAAGAGATCCATTAAGTCAGTTGCTGAGGAAGAGGCAGGAGAGTGCAGGTGCATAGGTAATTGATGAGGTCCGAAGGCGAGGTGGGATGCATGGGGTAGCGGGGAGGGTGGTGGGGGTGGCGGTAGAGGTGGAGGTGGTAGAAGCTTAAGTCCCAAAACATGGACCTTGTAAGTTTGTGGGGGTTCCTTCGTCTGGACCAGAAAAATGAGGTCAACTTTTGCTCTTGGGGATTGATGCATGATAAGATTTTAGCCGGAGAGAAGGTAAAAGGTGGAAGCGGGGAGATTGCCAGCACATTGGCACCTATAAGGGCTTGAGGTCCATTGGCAGAGATAACTTCATTGATGATAGGATCCATCTGGTAAGCAACAATAACATAAGCGTTAGCGAGATCCTTTGATGCAATGGTAATTAAAAATCTTCATCATTGAAGAATTGGAGAAGCTAAGGGAAGAGGTAGGAGAGGAGGAAGAGAGGAACCAGGAAGGGAAGACCTATGAAGAGGAGTATTATGACTGCTAAGGTTCTTGAAGGAAAGGAGTAGGTGAAAAAGGGGTTGAATGGGAAGGTGAGAATTAAGTACAAGATGCGAGAAAAGGGGAAGAAGGCAATTTTAAGCAAGACATCTTGAAGGAAAGTGACAGCCATTTGAGACCTGCAAACAAGAGAAAAAAAAATTATTGAGTTTTGCAATAATAATTCTGGTGCCTCCCGTTATACGCTAGTTATTGTTTCTTCTTCTCAGAGACTTCCGTCTCCTTCTTCTTTCCTTCCTTCCTTCTTAATTCACCCTCCTCCTTGTCTACTCCCCTTCTCTCCTTCTGATTTCTTCCGCTCCCCTCCTTTTTTTTTTTTCTTTTTTTTTTTTGAAGATCTGAAGATTTGAGAAAGAAGTATGCATGCTTAAGTTATGTGGCTGGAAACCTTTCCGCCTGTCCCCCTTTTTTATTTTATTTTTGGAATCACGAAAATTACTAAAAGTTGTGGAGATGCAGTTACTGATTGGTAGGAAAGTTACTGCATTTTTCTCCTATATGATATATATATATATATATATTTTAAATGATCTCCTTCTCGTTCACTCGTTTTTTTTGTGTGGGTGAAGGAGATTGCTTAGCCCCTGGGGTCGCCCCTTTTCCTCTCTCCTTCCTCTTTTTGTTTTTTTCTGGCGTTCAGGCCGAATGAGAGAAGCTGCAGGGGGTGCCTGTTTTTTTTTTTTTTTTTTTGGCGAAATGATAAGGTAGCATTTCTGACCCTTGTTTTCTTGTAGTTAGTGAGACCTTGAACCTGCATTCCTCGCATCGTTTCACTCGTTTTCCGTCTTTATTCTTCTTTTCCCCCTTTTTTTTTTTTTTTTTTTTTTTTGGCGATAAGATAGGGGAAATATAATGCAGTTTGGTAATCTTGCTTTATTGAGTTACCTTGTAAAAGGTAAAAGATCCCGTAGTGATGGCAAAAACTCTGGAATGTTTGCAGGATGAAGGTGATCCTTGCTTGCTTCTCTGTTTCTTTGCCCTACCCCCCCTTCTCCTCCTCGTGAGATGAATTGAATTAGAGGTGTCTTAATATATGTGAATATGCATCCCCTCCCTTTTCCTTTCTTTTTCTCTCCTTTCCGCCTAAAGGAAATTTTGGATGACTGATTTGTTAGGTGGAGCTATGGTTGGGTAGATGACGGTGCGGGCTTGGTTTGTTGGGCTTCCTTTTTTCTCCTCTCCTTTTCCCCTCCCATCTCATCAGTGCTTGCCCCTGATGATGGCCGGTGTCTTACGGCCCGACCGAAACACGCGTAGGATAATCGGGCTTCAAGATCGTGGCACCTTGCGCCTACTGTGCATATCTTTAGTTGATGCGCTTGGGTTTTCTAAGCTCGTTTCTCTCTTCTCTCTCCTTTCTTTTTTCTCTCTTTTTTTTTTTTTTTAGCAAAGTGTTGTTGCACTTGCATGCATGTACTTCATTTGGTTTGTCGGTTCACTCCATTAATTCACGAATATGATCGAAAAGACTCGGACACGAGTGAAATGATCTGATTGGCCTTTTGTGAAGTAGTCAGTTTATTGTGCCCTTCGTGTTTTCGTTGCTTTTCTTAAGCCTCCCCTTTTTGCTTCTGCTCCCACTCCTCCTTTTTTAAAGCCTCCCCTTTTTGCTTCTGCTCCCACTCCTTTTCTTTTTTTTTTCTTTTT